CGTAAAACCGCGGACTTGCTGTCCGGAGATGCTCCCTGTTCAAAAGACGAAGGGCTCTACCCAAAGGCGCCCTCGGAACCAACGAGGCTGGAAGTGTTTTGTGTGATAGACACAGGGTTCATTGAGCTGAGGATGCTCTAGGGATGTAACGGTATCTCAGACACACCCCTCGTACAAGGCGATAGGTAAGTGTGAAATGTGGGTGTTTGAAATTTTGATGGGTTGAGTGTAACGGGGTTACTCGTACCCTGGAATGATAAAGGTGGGTCACACAAGATGCTGTGACCATGCAAAGACGTGGATTACACAAGTCGGTGTCAGCCCACATTGATGTGGGCTACACCGAAACGAGAAGTCACTATGTGGCGGGACTACCAGTAGCTATGCTTATTAATTAGGCTTTTCTTTTTAATTAGGAAATGCTAAGGTTCTAGATATAGGCGGCACTGTCACAAATAAAACAATAATCCCAGTCTCAAGAAGACTGTATTTGCCTTGGTTAAAGTTTTGGGTACTCTTGGAGGTAGCGGATTGCGATCCGCTACACTCGTACTGGTTCTAGTATAAAACGAAGGTCGGTAATTTCAGTAAGCTTCCTATTAGCAAAGAGTTACAGCAGCACCGCTGCAGTTTGTGAACAGCTTTCTACTACACGCAGGCATATTATCTGCAATTACCAATGGATACTTAGCAGATATGGACCATTTCTACTCTTTCTTAGCATTGCCGAGGTCTGTCGCCTTTGGTGCGCCCGTAGAGAATTCTTTTCCATATCCCCATCACGCCCTCGTGACACCATAGCTGTTCTTCGCCACTGAATGAGACTCCCGCCACATCCTTGAGAGAAGCATGGTTGACGCGGGAGGTGTCAGCGCGAGCTCCAACCGTTCAAAAGCCCACCATGAAGGTGCCTTCGAGAAAGCGCCTATATCCAGTGCGGTGAAAAGAAATTAAGTTACACCTCCATTGACAATAATAAAAAATTTGCGCGCACCAAATATGCCTGATAAGTCAGAGCGCTTCTTCGACATCAGTCGCTTGAATGCCTCTTTTATGGAGGTAATTCACGTAGTGGCCCTCATCGTGCGCGGCCTCCCGGTTTAGATAGTGCAAGTGCGACACTTTGGGATCTTTTGGAGCAAGGCCAAATCTTTGATCATCTTACTTTTCTTATACTGGACGAATTTTCTTCCGTTCTGGCCTTCAAGGGCCTAATAGCTCAACGTAGTAATTTTACAGTGGAAACCATCTTTTCATTTACACGCGCCCGTTCTAGATGTGTCATGCCAGCAAGCTGGTGAGTGTAAACGATTTTCGCCTCGACCCATTGTCCGTCAAACCTTTGATTCCATTGGTAGATAAGAAGTGTGTGACACCAAATGTCTGCGACATCCACACAATCACGCTCATGACGTTCCAACCACGTTATACACAGGTCATAATGTATTTGTATCAGGGCGAGTACTAATCTCGTGTGCTTTACCGTTACACTTTTGGAGCAATTGTATAAGATACAATATGGTACAATCGTTCAAAATCAACATTTAACTTGTTGTGGATGTGCATTAGTACGGAAACATTCATATCAACTACATATTTCTCGAAAGAAGGGGTCCAATGTACACATGGACTGCTAGCTGCACTTTATTAATAAAGTATTATTAGGATAAATAGTAAGGTTAAATATTTAGTATCATCTAATTACATTTGCTCGATATATACGTACTCTTGATTTAGCAGAGAGAAGTTACCTAATTTCGAGGATTTCAGTCTCGCTCCTGAAGGAGCGCACGAATCCATCCTTCAAGCATAGCGCACGGCAACCCCATTGCACTTGGTAGAACTTGGAGTCTTTTTCACGACTCAGTCATGGAAGACTGAAAAAAATGTTCTGTAAAGCCGGGGCATTAAACGTTCTAATACCTATCCCCGGAACAAGTAGAACAAGAATAACAAGGCTTTGTCTATCTTGGGCTGACGGACTCAGGTGAGTGCTGATCTAATCTTTGCTTTGCAGCAGACTCACGTTTGCGCGGGCATCAAACTGCGGTCCCTTCGTAGCAGAACATTGATTATCCAAATAGATGATCATCGATGCTGCTGAGTGACTTGATCAAAGTTCGACATGAAAGCAGCTGGGAGTCTCAGTATGGAATTGGGACAGCAGTTTATCATCGTATATCGTCACCTCCAATATGTTTCTTTGCTGAGACAGAAACGAGCAAAGGTATCTCGTGGCCTCTACAGTGTACCTCTATGTGAGATGCCTGAATACAGCTAACGAGGAGTATTATATGTCAGGTCCGGTGAAGTCAAGTGAAAGTGATTGTGTATTGTTGTCTTCTGTGCCATATGGGAGACTGTAAGTTGCAAGTAGAAAGACTGGCTTCCGAAAGATTTACAGACAGTCTCTTGTTGTCACGACTACGGTGTTTGTAACGGGGTTACATGAGAGTGACCCGTCACTCTCCCAAGGGAGCTGTGGTGTGG